CTTCAGAGCAGAGTAGAGCTGTGCTGGCATCTTTCGAGAAGTTGATTCTGAGAAACCTTTCTTCCATGGTCATTCCTATTTTTAGAACAGTTCCAGACCTCGGGAGCCTCTACCATCCTTCCCTCCTTGAAGAGACAATTGAAGAGTTTTCCACTGACTTGTCAAATGTTCTTATAATATTTATTTGTTTGGATTTTTCCAACAAAAAGATTTAGTTTTGACCTTTTTTTTTAAGCACATGCAGGTTAGGACAACAGCACTGAAATATTGATAGTCGTAACCAAAACATCCAATAGACTTGATTATTTGCTCATATACGTAAAAAGCAAGTTGGCTGTTGCATGTGCCTCTAGACTCTTATTTAAGTTAATGTGGACAACTTTGTAGATGGTCCTGTTACAAACCGAATGAGCCATTCAAAGTGAGCTATTCATTTTAGCCATGAACTTGGATGAACTTTGTTCTCTTGCTTGATATGAATCAGAGCCCAGGAAACTTAGAAATAGCATTATTCTGTCCTTAGAGATAAAGCACCCATTTTCCCTTGGGGTCAAAAGTTTTGGTCACCCAAAAATATGCAAATAATTTTCAACAAGCGCACCAAAGCAATTGAAGGGGGAAAATGAAAGTCTTTTCAACAATTGCTGCTAGAACAATTAGATAGCCCCATCAGGAAAAAAAAAAAAGAACCTAAACAACCCCTATCTCATGCTATATATAAAAATTAATTTGAGATGGGTCATAGACCTAAAGGGAAAAGCTTAAATTGTAAAAGTTTTAAAGGAAAATATCTCCAAGACTTGGGGTGGTCAAAGGCTTCTTAGTTCACAGAAAATAATAACCATGAAAAACAAATCGGTAAATTGAACTTCATCAAAATTAAAAACGTCTCCTCATGAAAAAAGAACCTTAAGAAAATGAATAGGCCAGCCACAGATTGGAAGAAAATATTCACAACATATATATCTGGCAAAGAACCTGTATCCAACATATATAAAGAACTCCTAACATTCAATAATAAAAAGACAAACAACCCAATTTAGAAACGGGAAGGGACTTGAACAGATACTTGGCAAAGGAAGATATAGAATGACTAATAAGCACATGAAAAAGTGGCTAACATCATTTGTCATCAGGAAAATTCAAATTAAAAGCACAATGAGACGTCACTGTTCAACCATTAAAAATGACTAAAATTTTAAGAAATCGACACCACCAAATGTTGGTGAGAATCCAGAGCAACCAGAACTCTCACCTGCTGCCGGAAATGTAGGATAATTCACCTACTACAGAAAACTGTTGGGCAGTTCTTAGAATGTAAAACAGACATCTGCGCTATGTTACAGCAATTCCACTTGTATTTGTTTATCCAAGAGAAATGAAAACACGTTCATAAATCGTATCTGCCAATTTCCTTTCTCCATATCTTTACCCATGTCATTGCCTTCTGGAATTCCCTTTTTCCTATCCCCATCCCTGATATCTGCATGTACAAATACCATGCATCCTTAATGTCCTGGTTTGAGGAACGTTGCTAGTTCCCTTTGTAAATGAATCTCTTTACCTTCCAAACCTCTTTGGTACTCTTTCTATGTTGCTCTTAGACCGTCACTTGCAACACTGTATTATGGTTACATGTGGCATATCCCCAGCTAGTCTGTAAGCTCCCATGGGACAGGATCTCTCTGTGTCTAATGTATCTTTGCACCCTACTCAGTGCTTTGCACAAAGGTATTTGGAACTAGTATTGAATGAATGACTGAGTGAACATATACTCATCCAATGACACACTGGATTTATAGTCAGATCTTGGTCCAAGTCCTGGCTCTGCCCAGTGATGTTGGATAAATTCTCTGATTTCATTTGCCTTTATTTGAAGATAAAATAACTGAATGATTGTGCTAGACTGTTACTTTCGGTTCCCTCTACCTGCAGTGAACCATTCCTCCCAAATTCCGTGCCCTTATGTAGTCCCTTCCCACGTTGGCTCAAGGCTTGGCCATGTGTCTTGCTTTGACCAGTGGAACATTAGCAAGCAAAGTCTTGATGAGCACCGCACATTGGGGCTTATCTTGGATTGCTGGCTCTTAGCAATTGCTGGCTCTAAGAAGTCTGACTCCTCTGCTGGAGATACTACATGGGGAGACCATATAAGGAGGCCATGTGAGAATAGAGAGGCTTCGACGGTACATGGAGAGAAAGAGAAAGCCAGCCATCCCAGCATCCAGCTGAGCCTAGTCAGGTTGCAGAATGATGAGAAATAATAAAATGGTTGCTGTTTTAAGCCACTATGTTTTTGAGTGATTTGTTACATGGGATCATTGCTTTCCTCACAGAGTTGTCAGGACTAACTGATGACACTTGTGGAGGGCTTTGTTCATGGACAAGTGCTAAGCACATATGAGGAGCTGTTATTTCTGGGCACATGTGCAGGTTGGCATTTGTGCTCAATTGCAGAATACATCCATTTGAGAACTAGCCTGTGAATTTAGAAGGTCTTACAATCCAACAGGCATAACCTTTGGTTCCTCCTATCCTTCTCCTCCCTCTAGCCTGGGCAGCCATCCACCACTGCTTCTGGGGAAGAAAGAGAGAAAGAGAGAGAAATGAACAATAAAATAAAACAATTTATGAATAGCTATATAGCCAGAGTAAGGAACAGGTGCCCATTTTCATTTATCTTGTGAAGAGATGGGGCTAGTTTAAGGACTAGTCAGTGCTTATAATTATAATTTCAAAACTCTAGCAGACTCCCTTCTAGAGAGAAGGGAGAGGGAATCACCATGGTCTAAAGGGTTGGTCCTCAATCTGGTCCATGTCCAGAGCTGGTCAGGTTCAGAGGAACTGAATTATATGAACCAAATTCCCAGGAGACCGGTTGATGGACCAGGATGCCAGTTTATCCATTTGCAATGCAAAATGTAATTTACAAGCCAGTGTTAGGCTCTCTTCAGTGGCAAGGAAAAGATTGCTCTGGCAACACCAGATTGCTTGAACTGATAATGGTTTCATGGGAAAGTGAGGAAGTGCAGGGAACCGTGACCAGGTGGAGCATTTTGGGTGTGCTGAGTAATGCTAGTGGTCTGTTAGACAAAGCCTAGGTTTGTATACACATCCTTTTGTGCACCTGGAATCTATAATCTATTTCTAATCAGGCTGAGAGCATTCTCTCAGCTCTCCTAGTTTATGGGTTTACAGGTAGGTGGGGGAATGAAGGCAGGGAAACAGCCTCTCCCTTTCCAAAAGGATGGTGGAGAGGGAGTCCCTTCTTCTGTGAGAAACAATATAATAGAATTGAGGGATTTGGAAAGTTCATGAAAGACTATTAGCTCCATGCCCAGCTCAGACACCTTCTCTGGAATCCCTCCCCTAATATAAGTGCCCACGACACCTGAATCTATCCAGTTTTGCTCCTTTAAGACTGTATTATAATGTTTGCATATATGCCAGGCCCTACCTAAACTATAAGTCCTTGAGGGTCAGAATTATGTCTTATTAATCTTCTTCTCCCCAGTCCCAGTGCAGTCCCTGGCGTACAGTTGGAGCTCAATAAATCTATGTGGCATTAGCTAAATGTCTGACGTTTTTGGAATTGGCTGAAATCTGAAACATTACAACTGTTACCTTACCTTTTTGTCATAATTTCTGAGTGAGGGGAACTGTAGAGGTCACATGATCCTGAGGAAACTGCAGCTCAGAGAGGGGAAAGCACTTGCCAGAAGTCCCCCTGTTAGGGGCATCTTGTGCTCATTTGTGGCCCTCCTGGTCTCCTGGCTTCCAAGTGCCTTCTCTCTCAGTCCTCCCTCCTGGGGTCTCCAGGGAAGTAGAACCCAAGACTCTGCTGCATCCCACCCCAGAGACTTTATGTCTCTCCTTTATGTCTCACTGAAAGAAGGTTTTCTTTCTTTTGTGCCCATTCTTTCTTGCAGACCCTTCCCCAGATCATGCTACCTTAATCTTAGCGAGGAGATGTGGGGCAGGAGGGAAGACCCTGCCTGCCTGCCTGCCTGCCTGCCTGGAGCTCTCCCGGCCTGGATGCCAGCGCCCTCCCTCTACCCGAGGATGGGAAAGGGTTCCACCCACACCAGTGGTGCACTCAGCGCTCCAGGACCACGAGCGCTGCGGTGTCAAACTGGCCGAGCAAGAAGCTGCAGCCGCTGCTGTGGCAATGAACCCTGAGACCCCCTTAAGGAATACTTTACAAAATTATTTTAATTACCGTGCAGACCTTGTAACTTGACCCAGGCACAGCCATCAGTACTCTCCTAGAGCCAATATTACTAAAATCCCATTCAGTGTGTGTCTCCTGCCGTCATTCAGTTTCAGGCAAATGTGTATCCCTATTAATAACCCCCTGACAGCGTGGGAAACTTCACACCGCTCAATCGGTTGCTCCCCTCCTCACTCTGCTTTTTGCATCTCATTAGAACTCCTAGCAAGTAGTTATTTTTCGGTGGTTGCGGGAGCAGGGCAAGAGAGAGGGTGCTAAACTTGGGGCCAGGAGAAATATTTAGAGGAGTATTTACCTTCAATTCGATCTAAACCTGTCTTTCTCAAACTTGGCTGCTCATCGGAACCACCCGGGAGCTTTAAAGGCTAATGATGCCCGAATGTCAGCCCAGAGGTCTGATGTAATTGATCTGGGATGCGGCCTGGGCATCTGGATTTTTTAAACTCCCCGGCTTATTTCCAGGTTGAAAACTACTGAGATAAATTCTTCATTCCTTTTCCCACTCTGGAAAAGTTAGATTCGCAGCGCAGGTCGGTGGCGCAGGGGATCTGGCGCCTGTCCCTTCGCAGCTCGCCAGCTCTGGATGGTCCCGGAAAATCCGCGCGCGCGACAACGCTAAACACGCGGCGGCGGGGCGGGCGGGGCGGAGGGCGGGGCCGCGCTTGGCCCCGCCCCCGCACGCCTATCGGTGCGCGGTGCGGGCCCTGACGTCACTCTTGTCAGGGCCGCGGCACATGGGCGGCCGGATGCGCTGAGCCCGGCGCTGCGGGGCCGCCGAGCGCGGGGGAGCAGCGGCCGCCGGCGCGGGGAGGGGGTGGGGTGGGACGGCGCGGTCTCCGGTGCTCGCCGGAGGGACCCGGGGTGGCGTGGTGCCTTCGCCCTTCTGCAGCCGTCTGCATATTTTTTCTTTCTTTTTCGCAATTTTGAACATTTTGCAGGACGAGGGGTTCGAGGCAGGTGAGAGCATCCTGCACGTCGCCGAGGAGCCCAGGGGCACTTGGCGCGTCCTCCGGGACTCGTCTGCACTGGGAATCCGAAAGTTTATTTTTATTTTCGTATGCAGCTATATTTATAAAGATAAAAGTTATTTTTTCCTTCCCTTGTCTCCACCGCCTTGAAAGCGCGTACTTTTGGCAAAGGACGGAGGAAGAAGCTCAGCAACGTTTTGGGGGGCGGTTGGGTTTTTTTTTTAAGAAAAAAAATTTGCATCGCGATGGAGAAAATGTCCCGACCGCTCCCCCTGAATCCCACCTTTATCCCGCCTCCCTACGGCGTGCTCAGGTCCTTGCTGGAGAACCCGCTGAAGCTCCCCCTTCATCAAGAAGACGGTGAGCGCTGCCCTCCTGGATGCCCTGCTCTGGGAAGGGACGACGCTCCTGGGGTCCCCCTGCTTGGCCGGGCACCCCCGCTGGTCCGCTGGAGCATCCATCCCCTCTCTCCCTGTCCCCGGTACACTGGCCCTGCTTTGATGAAATTGAGGGGCTCACCCATCACCCCACCCCTCCTCCTCAGAAAGGGGGGACCCCCTCACTAAACATCATTTAAAATAGCGCTGGGGACCCGGCCCGCCCTCCTGGGTCCTGCTCCTGCGGCACGGGTGGGAGATAGAACTTGACAGGTCAGTGATCCCTAGATTGAGACTTATCCGTACGCAGAGCTAAATGGCCTGCACGAGGGCAGAGCTTCGCGGGCTGGGGAGGAGAAACCAGAGGGCTCGCTTTTATGGGGTGGGGGGCTCCAGAGGGGGCGGGTGTCACTGCGTAGCCTGGTTATTGGGATCGTCCTTCTTGTTTCTGTTATTAGTATTTGGAACTCACGCGGTGTGAGCGGAGACGCGTGTTCTCCTGGGAAGGATAATTCAGGAAGGGGGGTGAGGGCTAGGGCTGGGGCTGGCGAGGGGAGTGGTCTCTCGGCGGGAAGCCGTGCACGCCTCCGGTGCTGACACTTTCCCCGTGCACTTTTCCTGGTGGGAGGGGAGAGCGGAGCAGGCTCACGTGTAACCGCGCAGAAGCCTCCTTTGGCTTGAGCCCTTTCTTGGTAAGTCCCAAACCTTCCCCAGGCACCCTAGGCTGGAACGGGACAGGAAGGGTCGTGCGAGGAGGCTCCGAACGGAGCCGGTGCCGCCAGGGATTTGTCATTTGGGCCGATGCGGTCTCCTGCCTTTGATAGCACAGTAGCAGATGCGAACTGTGGGGCTCAGAGTGTCAAGTCTTGAAAGATCGTTTGGCTACGAATAGCTTGGGAGTACTAGCATCTTCTTTCCTAGCAGGGGACAACCTGTTGCATTGCAAGAGCTGAGGGGTTTGGTTCGCAGTCTGCAGAGCATAGCGTCCCTCTTAACTCTCCTTTGAGGAGTAGCGCTTGGGAGGGAGGTGCTGCCTGCAGTCTCTTGCATCTGTGGGTGTTTTAAGTCAAATTCTCAGGAGATGAGACTGTAGAGGATTAGAATGGATGGCGGTAGAGGCTGTGTTTTTCTGAGGAAGAAACTCAGAAGCCAAATTCCTTAATTCCAGATTCCACCCGCGCCTGAGTACTGGACTTGGCAAAATCCAGAGCTCTGGTTAAAGACCTAATGGGGTGAAGAGCTCTGGTTAGAGACCTAATGGGGTGAGCCATACTTCCAGGTAGAAAACCTAGCTGCATACCTCCACCGTAGTAAGTAGAGTAATCACCTTTTCCAATAGCTGTGCTTTTGACAGGTTGCATACATGTATAATTTTTGTGAGCCAGATCATGCTTACGTGTTTAGGGAAGAAAACACTTTGTAATTTTTTTTAAAACTCGTTTTGTAAGATACAGTGTACCCCAGTGGCTTTAGAAGCAAACATGTGGACTCAGGAAGTTCTCTATTTTCTTTTCTGCCAATGTGAGGCATTGGTCAAGCTGCTTCAAGTCCCAGAGGCTCCATTTCTTTGGTGTGAAGGGGACGATTGCTGTTTGCAAGTTGATTTGGAGATTTTTGGAAATAATACAGTATGTGGAAAGAACCAAGTATATAGTAGGTGCTTAATACGTGGTAACAAAGAAGGATGGAGAGTCCCTGCTTTTCCAAAATTAGAATTACCAACTCTCTGGCTTTTTAAGTCTGAAGAACATCATATTGTTACTGTAATGAATTTCCTGGAAGATAAATCATGCCTGCTTATTGGCTGTTTTCTTAAAAATCATAGCAGTTGTGTGTTATGGCAGGTGGATTTAAATTATTTGTCTCCTCAAATAATGCACTGAAGACTGTACTCTCTTGTTTATATCCTAGATCTGTGTGTAGCCCCGTCCCAAGGACTAGTACTTTCTTTCCAAAGTAAATAGGAAGATGTTGAAAAACAGGCAGAGATCCATGGCCTGCTTGAACTTTTAACTCCAGATGCACAAAAGCCAGCAGCCAGAGAAGAACCCTGGTGTTTGTGAGAAGTAGTTTTCGTAGCAGGAACCAGGAGGGGTGATAAAAAAAAAGCAACACGCTTTCTTTGTTAAAAGCCAACTTTCCTCTTTTTCTGCAGCATTTGGTAAAGATAAAGACAAGGAAAAGAAGCTGGATGATGAGAGTAACAGCCCGACGGTCCCCCAGTCGGCTTTTCTGGGACCCACCTTATGGGACAAAACCCTTCCCTATGACGGAGATACTTTCCAGTTGGAATACATGGACCTGGAGGAGTTTCTCTCGGAAAATGGCATTCCCCCCAGCCCGTCGCAGCATGACCACAGCCCTCACCCTCCCGGGCTGCAGCCGGCTTCCTCAGCTGCCCCCTCAGTCATGGACCTCAGCAGTCGGGCCTCTGCACCCCTTCACCCTGGCATCCCGTCCCCGAACTGTATGCAGAGCCCCATCAGACCAGGTAAACTCAGAAGGTTCTCCCTTCAGATGGGGAGGAGGAGGAAAGAGAGGGGCAGGCTGGGGGGCATAAACATCTTAGCAATCAGAGAGGCTTCAGCACACTAAAAGAGGACTCTTGTATTTCACCCCCTTCAGTGAGTGGTTGTCCCACTTCATTGAGCAGCCACAGCACCTGGAAAGTCAGCTAAATGCAGATTCTATGGACCTACCCCTAGGAGCTCTGATTTTTCAGCTCTGGGGTGAGGTCCAGCAATATGCATTTTTAACCAGCTTCCTAGGGGATTCAGATGCAGCTGATCCCAAGGACTGCCATTTAAGACATACTAGCCCTCAGTTAATGATTTGGATAATTTGGGCATCCATCTCATCTGCTCTCTGTTCTCCTCATTCCCCAAATACACAAATAGGGTCTTGCTGAATGATTTGGGCAGACTCTCTGTAAGGCTGTCGTTTACCTACATTCATTCTTGTCTGGCCTGAGGGAAAAAAAAATGTGAGTTAGGGTGTGGGGTGGATAGCTTTGTCATCTTTTTCATTTGTGTTGTCATTGACTGGGAAATTGAATCTGAAAGCGGCTCTCATATTAAGCGTGGCCTAGCCTTCTTCAGCACAAGACCCCACCTCTTTCTCTTCACAATTCCTGTAAACCAAATTGTTCTTATGTATTTTTTTTCGTTTTTGTCTGTCCATCACACTTTTTAACCAACTTTTGTGAAAGCCCACAAGGGCACAAGATTGGCTTTAAATGATGTTGAAATAGTACACAAAAATGTCTCCTCAAATGACCGGTACTTCAAAACCCACTGCTGGATGCTCAGATGTAAACACAGGTTGAGGCAGCTCTGGCTTCATGGCTCTAGCACCCTGGAGTACAGAATGAACAGGAAGAAAGACCATTTCTTGTGCACAGGTAAGCAGGAACAAAGATTCAGCAAGATAAATTGTCAGGAAGGTCGCGGAGCTGAGGGCCTTAGCTGCAGGGGAAGGCAGAAAGCAGGACAATGGGAGACTTGTGCTAGAGATCATTCCTGAACTCCATGTCCTCGACTCCTGTCGAGTTTCTCAGGCACACAGAGCAAGATTAAAATGGAAGGAAACGATGCAAAGGAGGAAGAGAACGCCCCTGCCTTGAAATATTAGTATTGGAGTTCAAGTTCTTCCACTCCGATCTTCTGTGCTGGCCCCTTCTCCAAACCCACTTTGAATTACAACTCAAGGCTACTGGTTGGAATGGAATTAAGTTTTAACCTGTAGCCACCCCAGGAGACTGCAGAAGCTTGGGAAAACACTCCTTTATGTGACCCTGAACCACTGTTACTTAGAACGTAGGGTGCCATTGTCTTCAGTTTCTTCCCGGGAATGGACAACCAGTGGAATAAATGACCATTCAAAATGAGAAAAAAAAAAACAGGGAGAAGGGGACAGAGCCCCAGTGAGAAGGCACAGTTGTGTGTCATTCTGCTCTGCAGACTGAGACCTACCACTTCAGAGCTGTGTGACCTTACAAAGTGACACAACCCCTCGGGGCTTCAGTTTCCTCTTGTGTAGAAGGATGTAATGTCTATTTGATTGGATTATTGTGAAAAGTAGAGATATGTAAAAGAGTCAAATGACTAGCACTGGCTATTCTATTAATGAAAGCAGTTATGATCATTGTTCTATTTGTGTCAACTTTTATCATTTATTTCAATCCCTGTCTTCTGAAATGCCCTCTTAAAGTCGTTAGGTACAATATATAACCCCTCCTTCTGGAGAGAAATGTCAGGAGATTTTGATAAGTATTGATAAATATTTCTCAATCCCCTGCCAAATACAGGATGTGTACCATGTTATAAATACTATATTTTTTCCCCAAGAGGCATGCAAATATTAAGTCCCCACATGTTGGTTCCTATTGAGAGTGAAGAATCGGTATTTTGAAATTTGAGGCTTTCTTAGAAGTCATTTGTCAAAGCTTGTTAGAATCAGTATTAATCCATGACAGTCAGAAACTTGGGATGCCCCAATCAGATTTGCAATCCATAAGAAAGGACTCCTGAGGTTCAGTAGATGTCATTTTTTTAGGTGATGGAGGAAGGGCACTAGGATCCACTGGGCACTGGGGTCTAGAAATAAGTCTTCATTTCAGTGTCTTTTTTGGTAATGGAAACACACTTCAAAATAATCTTCTTCTTTGAATAGAAAACCCAGTGAGACTCCTAACAAGACAGAAAAGAAGTTAAAGCTCTTCTTCAGATAACAAACGCACATAAAATAACACTCTGCTGTCATAGAGTGTTGATCATTATAAAGATTATAATGCAAAATGAAATTCCAGGGGATATGGACTCAATGGATGGTATATCACAAGCAAACCTGAAAAAGGAGAAAGTTCTCGATGATTCTGTGTAATCACAGTGGTGACCAGAATAGAAATACCAAGTTAATCTTGAGGAAAATAAGTCCTCAGAAGGGAGGAGTACAGATGTAGCCTTAGCATTCTGGGAATTGTAGAATTTCAGTCTAGATCAAGATTTCTCAACCTTGGCACTATTGATGTTTCAGGTAAGTCTTTGTTGTGGGCGCTGTCCTGTGCATTGTAGGTTGTGTAGCAGCATCTCTGGCCTCTATCCCCCAGATGCCAGTAACACCCTCACCCCCACCCTGTGACAAGTAAAAATGTCTCCAGTCACTGCCAGATGTCCTCTGGGGACAAAATCACCCCCATTGAGAACTACTGATCTAGACTTTCAATTTGGGCAGCAAAATGTCGGCTTAATTCAGGATCCCACCACACACATGGGTGCTTTTTACCTCTGGAATGCTTTATGGCCAAGCTTTTGAGAAGACGAGATATTAGGTAGCCGAGAATAAATATAATGTTAATAAGAGCATAGTTAAACACTTTTAGTTGATAAAACTAAGACATCAGGCTAATCAGGAGATAATTGCAAAGCAATTTTATTAAACATTTGTTTTCTGCGGTTTGCTCAGCATGCATCTTTTGAGTTATGCTCGGTTGCATTGTGTCATTAGTGGTACCTGTCTGATTGAGAGGAAATGAAGCCATAAGCTGACAAATTACGCATTTCTAGGTCTACTGCAAGTGTGTCTTGGAATGACCAGGTGAGCATTCTTGTGAATTCTCATACTATCATATATCTCTTCCTATCCCTCCAACCCCCTTTCTTATTTTGTACACTCATCGTTATTCCTCTGTCTAGCTGTCTGATCAAAGAATGCAGCAAATAGCTGAAGAAATACGCTTTTCCTTGAAGGAACAACCCAGGGATCCATTGAAACCTCCTGTGGCTGGACATTGTTAAGCTCTCTGGGCTGACATCTTAATGAAGGAAGAGTGGTGGTTCCTGGATGCTCTAGCCGCCGGCACAGGCTTCTCAGTCATCTGAGGTGCAGCATCCTGGATGTCCCCAGGCCAGCAGAGATGGCAGGAGTCCTCCTGACCGCTTCAATGTTTGCATTTCAGATGCTATCAGAGGTGGTACCCGGGAGTGCTCTCCTGGAAGTATGCGCTGGGTACAAGAAAAATAAGAATCTGTTTGCCCTGAGAATTGAGCGATTGCTTTAAGGACAGCAGTCCCTTTAGGGAATGTCATCTATAGCAGACAAAGTCAGAGTTATTTTTAAATCACATGCTTGTAAAGCCAGATTTGAAATCGTTTCCTCTGGTGGTTTTTCTTTGAATAGCTTGGGGGTGTCCTGCCACTGTTAGACCCATATTCAGCTGAGAATTAAGAAGGCTCCCTTTCCAGTTCTGAGCACAGAGAACAGGTTCTGATGAAGGCTGGTTACAGAGAGAAGTGAAAACCCTTCCACGTGGAGGTGTGTCGGAAGAGGAGGGCCTAAATGGGTGGCACAAGAAGAGTGGGGACATGGGGGAGAACCGATTGTACCTTTGCAAGATGGAATTTGTGTTCTGTTTCTGCTGACCTTCCTTTGTGATAAGGTTTTGGTGTGGAAGGAAGATGCTGGCCGTGGGATCTGAGTCATGCTGGAGGGGAGTTCTGTGCTGCTGGTTCCGGGGCTCTGGGAGGTCCTGCTGAGGCAACAGGATTGTCTTGCTTTTTCCCAACATCGTGAGATGCAGCTTCGTGTTCTCCCTCCTCTTAAGGGCGTGCAGTTCATATATTTTCCCCTTTGGCATACTGGTACCCCTGCAGCTTGGGAGCACCACGATTGATAGTTGCTGTGCCCTGTGCCTCAGGTCTCTTGTAAGTGCATTTCATTCATCGGGGTCAAGGAGGTCATGGAGGGGAGAGAGTCAGCTTCATTCTGGAGGCAGGCAGACTTTTTTTCTGTTTCTTGAGAGTTTATCTTCTCCACCATGCCCTGTAGAGGACAGGCTTGCCCTGTTCTCTTGGCTTTGTCATATTGGCACATTCCCAGGACTGTTCCTACCCTCCTGGCTAGAGGTATTTTCCCATAGGTTTGGAAAGCTGGACCACTTGGTGGTGAAGAGCCTAGGCTTTGGACTCAGGGGCTTGGGTTCATGTCCTGGACCCACATTGGCTTGCCATGTAACTTTGTGTCAATTTCTTAACCTCTTTAAGCCTGAGTTGACTCATCAATAGAACGGAGACTATAAATAGTCCCCTCCTATGGGGTTTTAGCAGGATTAAATAAGATAACACGTGACAAGGTATGGCATGATGTGTGGCACATGTATACTCAGGGCCTGGAGCTGTGGTTATGATCTCGGTGGCATGGGAGCAGAGAAAAGAAAGACTGTATTCCCAACCCCCGTTCTCCATTTAGGGATTTGTTTCATCCAGTCCCCTTCCCTCTGCAAAAATAGGACATGCATTTTTTTTTTTTTTTTCCAGCATGCCCAGTCGTTCTTCTGTGTAGTCTGTTTGACTTTTCTCCTTCATTCTGGGTTAGGACAAGTCACCTCCTTGATGTTAACCCAGCGGTATTGCTTCTGGGTTAGCAACTCCTGTTTTGCCTGTGTGGAAACAGCCAGTTGCTCGGTGCCCAGCCCCCCAGCTCTCGTGCGAGCCC